TTTCACTGCTTCGCCTCATCCGACGCCTCGTGCGTGGGTGTGTGCGTAAAGAGGCTCAGCCCCTAGACTGTGTGAAGGCAGCGGTTTGGAGCAAACGATTTTGGGTGTCAAAGTAGCGGAATGCCGCCAACCACAATTGAGTCATTTCGTCGCCTAAACAGAGGAGTTTCCGTATGGTTGAGGATGTTGTTGAATTGTGAGTGGAGTGGAGTGGGGTGGAGTGTGGAGGGTAAGGCAAAGTGAAATGAGATGGGGCAAAGTGGGGTAGTGTGGGGTGGATGTGTGAAGAGGGTGAGGGTGAGTGCGAGAAGACGGATGATGGGAAGTGGGATTGGCAGGAGGAGGAGGAGAAGGAGGAGGAGGAGGGGTAGATTGAAACAAGTATGCTTGCACTGGATTGAGGCGCGCATTTGGCGCCTCTCGGTTAGACATCAAAGCGTGCATCGGAAGTGAAGGAGGAGGGAGGGTAGGCGGATGGAGGCATGCAATAACATGGAGGTGGGTGGAAGACAAATATTGCCATTGGCATGAAGTAGGGAGGGGATGTGGGTGTTGGAGGGGATGGTGTGAAAAGGCGTAGAAATGAAGTGTGGAGGCTCGAGTGGTGTCAAGCTTTTCCCTCTTACCATGGAAAGTGAGAATGACATGCGGGAGCATGAAACGTTTACACATTGCGCACACGCATCATGGAGTGGCAAGACACATCCACACAACCACAATATGCTGCATCAAGTGATGAGTGGTGGTGGTGGTGGTGGTGGTGGTGGAGGCAGGTGGATGGGAGGAGTCGTAGGGGAAAGATAAGGCGAGGAAGAGGTTAGTGGTGAAGGCGAAAGTGGAGGAAGAGTGGAAGATGCAGTATATGTGATATGCAAGAGGAGTAGGGAGGGCGGAGAGGAGGAGGAGGAGGAGGCGTGGTTGGTTGATTGAGATACAAGACAGAACACATCATCTCTTGTCATTGGCAAGGTGGGCGCACTAACCCACAAGGTGATGCACCTTCCTCCAGTGTGACTGCATCACAAGTCGTGCTCCACAGTGATGGTCAAACAGACAATGTGTCAGTGAGTTGACCGTTCCACGAGGTAGGGTGAGAATGAGAGGAGGTAGTGAAATGCATCACTCTCCTCCTTCTCCTCCTTCCGTCGTCGTGTCTGTTTATGCCTCCTCGATTTTGCGCTGCCATTATCTGCATCTCCTGCCATCTCCATACACATCCATTCCAGTCTCGCCTCCTCGCGCGCACACACACACACACACCCAAACACTCCATCCTCCTCCTCCTCATCCTCCTCCTCCTCCTCGTCTGTATCACCTCTCCCTCTCTTCATCCTCCCTCTCATTCGTGGGCGGCGATTGGATCATCACGTTGACAGCAGTGGTGGAAGGCATGAGCATGGACACCACCACCTCGTGTCCACGCACACTGACTGCTGCCTATGTTGGTTGTATTGTCCTCCACAAAACGATTCGCATCTCCGTGTCTCTGGGGTGAGGAGTAGTGTGAGGGATGGAGTGGAGAAATGGAGAGGAGAAGTGAGAAGAAGACGGTGGGAGGGGTGAGATGGGTGTGATGCAGGGAAAGATGGGGTGGAGGGGCGACAGCATTGACGTGTCCAATGTTGGTGAATAGATGTGTTGTGGTGATGCGTTGGTGGGACATTAAGTAATCGCCCTCTGACCTGTTGGCAATGCGGAAGTGCATAGGGTTTAGCAACTCCATGGAGAGGGAGGGAAGAAAGAGGACAGAGGTGAAATTGTTGGATGTGTGAGGTGTTGGTGTAGTGGTTACAGGGTGGTAGCAGTGTCGTCTCCTGTGGTCGGCAAGAAGGAGGAGAAGGATGGGCGGTGAGGGGAGAGGGAGGGAGGAGGGAGGGAGGTGGGAGGGAGTAAGGGAGGAGTATGTAAAGGGAGAGAGAAGGAGGAGGTGTGTAAGGAAAGAGGGAAGGAGGGAGGAGTGGGAGGTAATAGGAAGGGTGATGGTGATTGGTGTTGGGGAGTAGTTAGGATAATGTGAAAATATGGAGTTCTATGAAGGTGGCACACGCACTGTTGCAGAGGCCATGAAGCCGCAGTGGCATGGAGAGGATAACTGGTGATTGTGGGTGGAGGTGTGGCATGGAAGCATTCGCGTCATCAACGTGAGGAATGAAGGAGGTGTGAGTGAGGGAGAGGTAGAGGGATTGTAAGGTAGGTGTTTGAAGGATGCATGGGCAATGAAGAGGCAGGCATTTTAAGTGGACATCATGAAAAGTTTACGCGATTGTGCATGCTACATTGATTACCCAACCACAGTAATTACAGAGGCAAAAGTGTTTATGTTGCCTTTGATTTATGTCCACCCTCTCCTCCTCTCCTCTCCTCTCCTCCCCGTCCTCCTCCTCCTCCTCCCCGTCCTCCTCCTCTCCCTCGTCGATTGCTGCCGTCGGGGAAGCAGAATTGTGTGAGCCAAGCCAGAGAGCCGTAATGCTGTCTCGTGCGTGTGTGCGCGTGTTCGTGTGTGTGGGTGTGCGTGGGTGTGCACGTTGAGGACGGAGTAGTGGCGTGGAGTTGAAGTGATAGGGAGGAGAGTTGCAGCTGATGCGTGATGGTTGAGGGTGGTGAAGGAAGACACGGCAGAATCGAATTGGATGGAAAGGTGCTTGGTCATGCGTGCAACCGTAGGAAGACTGTGGGTTGGTGAGATGGTGGAGGTGAGTGTGGAAGGGAGAGAGAGTGTGATGGAAGGGAGTGGGTAGGAGAAGGAGGTGGAGGA